CTATTTGCATGTCCCCAAAAAGCACAGAAAGTTTCACTAGATGTAAAATGTTGAACACATTAATTCTGAAATCCCATTTCAAATAAGAGTGTCTGAGACCAATAAAAACAATAATACAATCAACAACATTTGGTTCAAGTGGGAACCATCACAAATAGATCCACAGAATTCTCACTAACATGTATCCATTTATTCTTTTTACAAGAAATAGCCGAGGCTTGTAATCTCCAGAATGCATTTTTAATACCAGTTTTTACCGTTTGGGTGAGCCATAATTGCAAGTATATCCACAAAGGCAATGATATAATTTAGAGAACAGAAAAGCCACAGAATTCCATATTTAGAGATAATGGGCCAAATTTCATCCCTAGAGTAACTCCAATGACTTCCATTCCAGCACTCTGTTGGCATATTGATCTCTGCAGTCTTGCAATATGGTAACAATGTTGTTTTTATCATGCATGATAACAATCACAATTGAAGTGGGGTACGCATTACCTAAAACTGGTCAAATAATTCATCATGGTGAAAAATATGTGTTGTAAATTTTGACAAATTTTCCATTGAATATTTTTTTTTAATAAATTCTTCAATTATTTAATAGCTCTAATGGCAAGAACTACTTAAACAGTGATGTTTGTTCAATCCTACATCTATAATAATAATGCAAGCCTCAAAGGATGCGAGCACAGAGGATATTAAGAACCATTCAAAGTCATTGATCCCTGACAGTCAGCACTACAGAGTACATTAGAACAGTGCACCTAACATTAGTGCACTTTTGCTGACTGATTAATAAAACTCCTGGCAAAGAAAATATGTGGTAGCCAAGTGACTGTTTCCTATAGCAAGCAACAGGCAGATATTTAAAGCATGTCAGTGCAGAATGGGTACTTGTCTGAACAGAAGAAATTACATAACATCCTAGAGATGAAGAAGGTATAAGAGAAAATGTTATCAGATTATAAAACAGTAAAATTCGCAGAAAACTTTGAATAGCATTTGCTTTGTTAAGCAGGTAAACTGAGTAATACAATATATTTTTGGCATATGATAAAGCCTGCGTACTGATAACAGTGTTGCAGGGGGGCGGAATTACTTGTGGAAAAAGGGCTCGTATTCTTTCTAGAAGTTATTCAACAAGGCCCCAATCCTGGAAAGACTTATACACGTTTAACTTTACACATTGTGAGTAATCCTATTGGCATCAGTGAGACTACTCACAATGAGTAAAATTAAACACATCTAAAAGTCTTTGCAAGATCAGGGCCGAAAAGTGGGGAAGAGACAACTTTTTGAAGAAGGATTTTTCTTATAGTGAAGAAAAGAACAGATTCTTCAGATGAGGATCTGGATAAATATTCTTCTCCAATCAGTCTTTTAAGATTAACTTTCTGATATTTCCTTTTTTTTTTAAAAAACCTTTTATTTCCTGGCACTCTTTCTGCTCCCTCTCTCTCCCATTTATTCAAATAGGAATGGGCCCAAACCAAAAACACAGATTCAAACACTCCCTAACTTTGGAAACATACATCTCTAGATCCAAATAACAATCCTGATTCTTTAAGCTGCTGAGCACCTTCAGAAAAGTCCTGAGTGCTCTCAATTCCCATTGACTTCAATGGGACTACTTATGTGCTTAAAGTTATGTATATACTTACATACCTTGCTAAATCAGGCGCTTACTTAATAGCACTACTTACATATTCAAAATTAAACACATAAGTTCTTAGGGCCTCACTATATGCAAACATATGTTATTTTAGTGGTAATAAGTTGTTCTTCTGGTTTTGTTATTTATGAGGTGGCTTTCATATGACAGACTAGCAAACCTGATGCATAACCCTGACCAGATTGTAAACTAGAGTTGTCAGGCACAGTCTAGTACAGACTTCATCTATCAACATGTAAAGAGTCTATAGTGTACAATAAACATGGAAACAGTTTGTAGATGTCTGTGGACTAGATGCAGAAAATAAATGATAATCGGTCCTTGTTTCAGTACTCAGATATCTTAACTTTGCACCCTGTAGTGAATTCGAAATTCAAACAAACTTCAAAAGAAAATATACATTCCCGGAGCTAAGGCATATGTCTGCCTGGGGGCAATAATGTTTGAAGACAGAATACACCATGGAGTAGCAGAAATTGTGTCAGAAACACCTACACCTTTGAAGGCAATATCAGATTTCCGCATTTAGTTGTTAATACAAACAATAATGTTGTTGCTTGGAATATAAAGGAGAAGGATAATAACATTTAAAATAACTTAGAGAGACAGACAAGGAGCAACATAAGATAAGGTGACTGCAATTCCATAGAATGGAGAGGTGTATACATGAATAACGAATGTATACTCAGTCATAAATTACAAAATACTGATAAGGAACTGAAGTAGTTGTGGATATAATTAAAGTTTTCTTCATAATGCATTCATTTATCCTGCTAGCAAAAGAGATGCAAAATCTTGCCTAGATTATAAACTAGACTTTTCCAGGCACAATCTAAAATTATTATTCCCCTAAGAAGTACTTGAGAAGAACAAAAAGGTACTGTCCGTAATACCAATTATTGCTTTACATAATTTTATTGTTGGTTTCTAACATTTTATTAGGAACATAAATAAACAATCTTGAAGGTTTTTCTACAGATATAGAGTAGAAGTAGATGTTGATGATGTAGATGTACGAGAGAAAAGGTGGGGTAAGGTCTAACCTGAAGAAGAGCCCTGTGTAAGCTCAAAAGGATTTCTTTTGGACCAACTGAAGTTGATCCAATAAAAGATATTATCTCACCCGCCTTGTCTCCCTAATATCCTGGGACCAACACGGCTAAAACAAGAACACCGCATACATAGAACGTCAAACAATTATTGTTACATGAAAGGTATAAGAAACATCATTACTATTTCAATGGAAATAACACATATAGCCTCATAAATACTTATAAAGTATACAAAGAGAAAATTTTAATAATTTAAAACTCAAACCCACCACATTTACTTTGGCTACCAATGGAAAGTGACCTAACAGGAATACCTACATTGAGTTTTTTAGTTTTGCTGGTACTCAGGCAAAGCAGTAACAGGCATATAAGTAGATCATTGAAAGATACAGAATTACATGCACCTATTATTTAAGGAGAATTTTAAAGTGTCTTTGAAGGAGGAAAGTTACATCCTTGAAATTCTGATGTTAGCTCAAAAGCAAAGCTCCCTTGACAGTGTTGGGTTTTAATTTTTATATAATAAGAGTGGGACTATTGTAATGAATCTTCTGGCAGAGGCAATGTGCTTCTGCCTATCAGAGAAGATCAGTGCTTCTGGGAAGTTTTCAGTGTCACAGCTAGCAGTGGCAAAAGTGGAGTCCATATTGATCTAATTTTTATGCTGATCTTAACACAGTATTTGAATTCTATCCAGCACTGGATTGGGAATCCAATAATGTATAAACTATTTCCTGGATAACATCAGTTATTTTAATTAAGAATCCATCCAAATATGTCATCACTTAGATCACCATTTGTTTGTACAGCATACTTTTTACAATAATATCTCTTCAAAGTAAATCACGTTAGAACAAGCTTTTACATGCTTGACTGAACAGTTTTGATTACTCAAAATAGGCAAGACTCGATGTTTAGTCAATAGTATAAGAAAAATAGGATCATATGTACTGCAGTGAATTGTAGGATGGGTGAACATTCGTAGGGTCTGATTTGGACAAGTGAGTTCTCACTGGCATCAGTTGGAGTGGTGGAAGCTCAGCACCTCTGAAAATCAGGTTTTGAGTGTCCATCCACACTAAGAAAATGATCCTCTGCTAACAACGGTTGTCTGCAATAGGTTCTTCCTGACCCATCTCCCCAAACTGTTGTTGAAAACCAACTGCTACAAAACTATGTTCAGCATCATTATGGAAAGCATGAATGAGACTTAGACCTTGTCCACCTAAAAAGTTAGATTGACCCACACCCCGAGCAACATAGTTAAGCCGATCTAACCCCTAGTGTAGACAGTGCTAGATGAACAGAAGAATTCTTCTATCAACCTAGCTACCACCTCCCGGGGAGATGGATTACCACCTCCCAGGGAGATGGATTACCAACAGTGACAGGAGAACCCCTCCTGTCAGTGTAGGTAGTGTTTACACTGTAGCATTTCAAGTGTAGACAAGCCCTAGGGGAACATTCTCTCAAACACATTTTCTCTAATTGTGTTGAAAATGGTTTGGTCCACTTACACTAGCAGTTGAACAGCTTTCAAGGCCACTTGAGGAGAAGTAGAAATGGATCCTTTCCCTAGTGTAGTACACGGGGGCAGTCCTTTAGCTGAGGGATGTCACTGAAGTTCTTTCTACTTGAGCTGGTGAAAATTAAAGATCCTATGGGACTTTTCAAAGAGTATGGGAAAAACCCCAGTGCCTTGGCCAATGTTCCCTCTCCCAGTAAAAAGAGGTCCATATCTAAGGCTCCAATTCACCAAGCATTCCTTTTTAGGTCTGCGCTTAAGCATGTTCTTTCGTGCTTACCTGAATATGGGCCTAAGGATGTGTTGAATGTATGGGCACTCCATTTGCCCACAGTTACTGCACTGACAGCATGTAATTCATTCAGCACCTTGGGATATGAGACAATATGTAAAACTATTGTACAAATTTCTCCTGTTAAGATTATATTACTCAGATTTTTAAAATGTTTTCCTTTTCCACTCATGTTTCAGAGGTATTTAGAGTACACTTTCACTGTCTCGCATGTGTATACAGGCTGTTTACCTGCATGACAGTTCTGCATTGACTAAGCACCCATCTGCCAGACTTGCCTTTATTTTAAATCATATTTTTCCAATCCACTTCTCGATGTATCACTTTACCTAGAGTGCCTGGAGATGCTTTCTCAAAAGGATTACATCAGTAATATTGCTACAGGCTGTTGACTGGGCAGCAGGAACAGCATATGAAGAATTCAATTTTTTAAAATAATTTTGATGGGTAATATCAGTGTTAATTTTTAAGCATTTTTATTTTTATCCATGAACATTTTCAACGTTGTACAAAATTATGGGTTTTAAGCATTTTAGATTTTTATCTGTTTGAATGTTCACAGTCATGGGAATTATAGGGAGGGTCGGACAATTATTTAATGACAATAAACGTTGAGATTCAAAATGTTAAAGCTTTATAAACCATCAAAACAAATTGTCAGTATCACATGTCAAAATATACAAAGTAAATATCTTTAAATCAACATATCACAAATGTTTTTAAGATTCATTCACTAGTCCATATGTAACAAGCCTAGTTCAAAGTTGACTTTAACGCTAATAAGTTCTCAAGTAGTACTTTTCTTTCTTTGCCTACCTTTAAATTTTGATTATCAGTGAAAATATTGTTTTGTTGATTTGTGTGTGTCTGGTGAAATTGATATTTACTGATAAAAATCAAATCCTTCCAAGCCTATATATACTGTACACAGAGGAAGTCAGCCTTTCATAGGAATTAATTGCATTACCTCTTTGATTAACTTAGCCTTTGCTGGCAAAATCCTAGTATTTTGAATGTGTTCTAATAATTGAGGGCTTACATCTATTTTAAACTAGTACAGAACTGCCAATTAAGCAATTTACTGATCATTTGCATCCTACAAACACACAAGTAAAGCTAGGTACATGTTGGATTTTGGCTTCAGCTACTTATGAGGGTTATGTTAAGCATGTGCAGAAGTGTTTGCAGAATAGGGGGCCTTGTTTTACATAGAATGCAGATCACTAATGGGGTAGCAATTGTGAGGATGCTCAAAAATGTATCTAGCAACCAAATTTCTTGTAAGCTATTTTTACTTTATCTGTTAATCTTGCACAATCAAAGTTTATATTTTTAAATTACTGGATTTTTCATGTTAATTCGAACAGTTGGAGACAACAATCCAAAAGAAGGAAATTCACTAAAAAGATGTAATGAGACTACTTGTAAATAATTGAAATCTCTTATCAATTAGTAAATAAAAAGGAGTTTAACTATGTGGTATTAACTGCTGGAGAATTATTTGTTCTGTGAATCCATGACTTCCAGAGATCTCTGTGATATTCTCTGCTTCAGCCCCCGGGGCTGTGGTACTCTGGAGCTGGCAGCCAGCAGGGCCCTGGCAGGGTTCCAGTGACAGGTGACAGGGGGCCCCCTGCAAGGTTCCAGTGACAGGTGACAGACTCCGGTTCCAGCAATGGGTTCCAGCCTCACGTGGGGTCGGGGGGAGCGGGGACACATGCCTCAGGCGAGCGGCTGGGGGTGTTCTGTTTTCTCTTTGGGAAATATGGTCACCCTGCAGCTCCCAGCTGCTGTGGGCAGAGGGGGAACCCCACAGTTTCCAGCCACCATGGTGGCAGGGGAAAGCATGGAGACGCAGCAGCAAAAGTCACAGGCAGGTCACAGCTTCCGTGAATTTTTGTTTATTGCCTGTGACCTGTCTGTGACTTTTACTAAAAATAACCATGACAGAATCTTAGTCTTATTTATGATATCCACAAACATTTATGAAATATTAGTTTTAAATTTTAGCAAACACAGTTAGTCTATTTTAAAAACTTACAGTTTATAAACCATTACTAATTTATCTTAGTTTTAATTTCCACATTGTAACCTTAGAACACAAAACAACCCCCCATAGGATAGGAGATATTTTCTCTCATGCCAGTCAGACTGATTACAACATGTCAGCATGCGTTCTCATACCTGAGCTTTTAGTACATTGTAATAGGATGAAATACAAGTCAGCTATTTACCACTTAGAGAGACTAATTAAACAGACTTAATCAAGAACAAAACTACTTAAGTCTACAGGCTGACTTGCATTTAACTGAGATTCCATCATACATTCTTAAACTAAGACCAAACTGCACAGTAATGCTGCCGTTCATCTTTCAATGCACAGCTGTGAACTCTTCCATTACCAGACTATCGCATATCCATTTCATCCATTTAGATTCATTTGGCAAGCTGCTTTACTTTCAGGATTGCATAATGATGTTTTCAGCCTTCTCCTGGATCAAATGACAACAAAAATCCTTGTAAAATTTCAGAGGAATATAAAGAAACAGACCAAGCAGAAAGAGTGGCCTAAATTATCTGTATTGCCCTGTTCCCTCTGTGTGCGGAGAGGGTGTGTGTGTGTGTAGGGGGAAAGTGGTATCTCACGGAATCACTTGGATTCCCTGATTTCCTGGTCGATTCTGTGCTGACCATTGCCATGGCAGAGTTTAGAGCTATTTGGGGCTGCACTCAGCTGTCAGCTGGTAAAGAGGTTGAGATCATAACTAGAGTTCACAGTGCATTTTATCCATTCTCTCTACAATAGGACTGTAGAGGGGGTGGCCCAGGAGCCAGGCTGTAGGGCACAGTTCCCTATATATGTTTATTCATGCTTACTTACGCTTGTTTCACTTTTCACATTTGAATGTATTGTATTTATATTAAAATAAGGCATTTTGGACAATGGAATCCATCTTTTAAAAGGGAGTCCAGTTTTGGTTGTTTACAACTCACCTTCCCACCTTTTTGTTTTGCGGGAAACAGGGTTTGCCACACAAACTGCTTCTGAGGACACTGGATCAAACCGGTCTGGACTCAAACTTTCATGACACAGAAGGCATAAAAGGGCTGCACACCCTGTCAGCGGGGCTGTTTGTCTGCAAGGCAGCCAGTGACTGTCATGTTTGCGCAGGCATCGAAGACTCCCTTCACCATCTTACCTGATCTATCCCACTGATCCGGGTATCTTCCACCTGAATCCACTTACCTTATTCCTGGTTCCAGTGATTGCCAACACCAGCGGTCTCCTGGTTCCTGGTTCCAACGCAGTGAAGGTCCTGAGCTCCTTCAGTCCCCGGTAACCACTGGGTGTACAGTTGCAGTTGCAGGTCCCTATGAACCCAAGCAACGTAGAGATTATCACTTAACACCCGCAGCTGATCCCACTCGAGATCCATCCTTCGAGATACAGTACAGTTCTAGGGTACCTTGGTTTAGTTTGTTTTGTTAGACGTGTAAATTCCCAAGGGTTGTATTGGGGACTGGGCTTCAGGCCCATCTTTGGGCAACCACATTGCTATTTTATGGTTTTAACCTGTTTTATTCTCTCCCCCCACCCTTCTTCTGACATTGTTATTAACCGTTTTAATAAATTTCCTGTTTGTTTTGGAAGAATTTCCCTCTCTAGTCTTCTGTTACCTACCTGGTGGTCGGTGGGAAGATTTTAGTTAACTTACTCGCAAGGTGATTAGATACTGGAAAGAAGGATGGTTTTGTGGGTAAAACACTAGGCTGGGATTCAGGATATTTCAGTTGAATAACCACCTCTGTCACAGACTTCCTGTGTGAATTGGAGCATATTATTTAATCCCTCAGTTTCTATTAAATCTGTGATTAAAATTAGTTTAATAGTACTTGCTTTGCTTATATTGTGAAGTCTTCAGGGTCAGGATTGTCTCTATGTGTTTGTGCAGTGACTAGGACAATGGGGCCTTGGACACTGTTGGGGTCTCTAAGCACTAATGGAATAGAAACATTTTAAAAAAGAATGGTGGTAATGTATAGGCAGGTCCAGCAACAACATTAATCTAACAGAATATTAGATTAAAATATTACTAGTGACAAAGAAGTCTGAATAGGTCAATATTGCCACCTTGAAAGACTTGAAGAACTCTTTTCTGGCCACATTTTCTCGAACAAGGGAGTGATAGAGAACTGAATATTTGTAAAGCAGGCATCAGCTACAATTGCATTATCAGTTTTATGTATGTTTCCATTACAAATGCTGCTGCCTGTTATTTTGGAACTGCCTCCCACTTGCTACACACCCAACGCTCTCCCTCTCTCCACTGAAATATCTTCTGAAAATAAATTTCTTCTCTTAAATCTTTCAGGGATGACCTCTTTCTTTAACACCTCATGCTCATACCATCACTCAGAGTATCAGCTGTGTCTAAACAGTCTGGTCTGTGCTTAAACTAAACTACATTATTTGGGAAAGGGACACATTTCCTTATATCTGTATAGACCAAGCACAGAGTGAGGGCTCAATAAATAATAAAAGTGTGAGTACTGGCTTGCAAGCAACACCAAATTCACAGTGACAAAGGCCTGGTATTGAGGATAATTTAGAGGACAGATTTGTTTGGCTCAGTGATTTTTTACTGTCCTGCTATTGCTTATTCCTTTTATTTCTTTTTTCAGCTCACTGACTTTTGGAGAAGTATCTCTCTCTCAAAATAATCTGACATGACTAGGCCACATCTTTGAGAATAGCTGCAGAAGATGCTTGTACATTAGTCTAATGGATGCTAGTTCTTTTATGATATTTCTCAAAGTGGTGGATTTGGAAAAAAGAAATAGACACAGTATAATGTTGGTTTATCATACTTTAGTTAGCTGTAACTCCTGATAAAGTCAAGTTAGATTATGTCTCCCAAGATTGTACTGTGCTCTTGGATGATAATGCCAGCTGGCTTTGAATACTGACTGGCTTTAAAGGATCACACTTTAACTAGCATAGCCCATTTAGAGCTGGCCAGCCTTCAAAGCCAGCTGGTGTTCTCACTGCATTCCGAAGTTGAGAACTCTGAGTGCAATCATTTTAGGCCTTCCCACTGGTTCCCTCATCATCTGAAACTCCATTTATCCAAAAGTTTTGGGCATCCACTAAAACTTTTGGATAAATGAGGCTGTACAGTAGTTCAGATCCAAAGGACATTATAGCAGTTGCGGTAGGAGTCAAATTTTGGTGCTTAAACAGTTGACTGTTCCTTTATACATTTTTTGCTCACCTAAACAAAAAGGTGTCTGATATAATTACCCCTCTTGTACATTGGGTGCTTCTTAAAC